GGGTTTGGGTAGAAACTGGCACAGTGGGATCCTGGGCAGGGCCCTTGAGTGTTACTACGATATGATAATGATCGTAACAATGCAATAATAATACAATAATCATACAATAATCCAACACAACAGCATTATCATCCTCATCAGAGTCCAGACAAAGTCTCCATTTGTAGCCTATTGGCTCTTATATAAACTGAATGGGAATATTTGGAGCTCTGATCTCTAATGAAATCTGGGGTCTCTGATCTGCCCTGGTACCCTGGGGGTTAAACTGTGGAAATGAAGTCTTCCTATGGCATAAGCCAAGTTGCTAATCTAAGCACTAATGTTGCATTTTCCCAGTACTGTGGGACCACTGTTGCAGCAAAACTATTAAAAACCAGCATGACAAAGGCTTTCCTGATTTCCAGTAAGCCTTATAGTTTCAGTGCAGCTACATGGACCTCAAATAGTTCAATGTAAAGTTAATTTTAAAGGCGGCCTTGAAGTTCCTGTGTCTTTTTGGAGATTTGGTGGGGCAAATGTGTAGTCCGTATCTTACTTTGAATAGATTTCTCCTTTAATTAAATGTCTTTGTGCCCTGCATGAGCAAAGTCAGCCACGGCAATTAACTTTAAGAGAAATGCATGCTTCTCCAATTCTCCTCGCGCATTTATAAATGTGGGAAAGTGTAATGAAGGGAATGGGAGCTGAGGAAAATGTTTTCAATTATATGCCTCACAGAAGCCAGTAATTTAGATTAAATGAGGGGCGTTTTGAATATCAATTAACTTCCAATTAGGTTGGAGCATTTATTGTTCTTGGATTAGTTATGTGCTTATGGCTTGGGGTTAATTACTAGACAATCACATTTATTCCCTCAGTCTTTTAAACGGCATTGTGTGATTGTTTTTACAACTGTTACGGTGTAATTAAATGATGTCTATAAAGTTGCATCCCTTCCTGAAATATTGGCCAGCATTTTTAAGTGTGCGCAGTTAAGTACCTAAGCGAAGGTTGGAAGATCCTTTTGTGTCCCTTCAGAGTACAAGGCCTCCTGACTGTGCAAATGCCCTCTGCGGTGATCTTAAAATGGAGCTTGAGCAGTTTGTATGAAGGGGATTATACACCACGGCTGTCTGCAATATCTGGGGGCTGGACTCAATGATCCAGGACGTCCCCTGTAGAATTGTGCCCCCATGATGGCACTTAATATTTATGTTAAATAGACACCCAGGTATTTTAGCAGCATGGCTTATGGTTTGGTGAATCATTTGAAGTCAGCCCTGTCATCCACTCATCAACTTGTCTCCATTTTCGCCCGCAGGACATCTATGTTTGCTACCATAAGGTCTCACTGGCTCTCTTCTAGCCCAGGCGCTATACCACCTACTAGCAGCCTTTCATAGGAGCAGGATGTTGGCTGCTGGGGTCCCCCTGCTTTACCTGTGACAGGTTAGGGTCAGTAGCAGCCTTAGGGGAGGGCAAACCGAGCGACTGCCACACTTAGGGGGCCCAAACTGATGATCTGCTCCGGTGCCTTCCAACTCTACCAACTGTGAAACTACAAAATTTTAGTGGGGGTGAAGTTTTTGCAAGGGAGTGGCTCTATTTCCATTTTAACACTTGATTATTTATCTAATTCCCCCAAAGAATATTAAAAAGACCCACGATACAATTGTGGTGGGTTAATATTTACCTGAGCACATACCTCTAAGGGGCCCCAAGTGACTCTCTTGCCCAGGACCCCAACAACCCTAAGGTCACCACTGTTGGGGTGTAGTGTCTTGTGTTGTGGGTTGACGGCAGTTTTTTGAACAGTTTAGGTTGTATGGGATGGTTTGGATAGGCATGATCCTGCCTCAAGAAGAGGTTTAGACTACATGACCTCTGGAGGTCCCTTTCCAGCCTGACTTCTTTGAGTCTGTGATTGTATAATTCCACAAAATGAAGTGAAGCCCCTTTGACCAAGGCTTTGTTTGAGCCCTCATTTCACGAAGCATCGCTCACCCTGAATCACAGATACTCGGGTGCTTTTACTGAGAGTGCGGGCAAACCATCAACTTGCAACAAGTTACAAAGGGGCAAGGATTTGCTGCATGGCATCTGATGGTTAGTACCATGTGTACATGCTTACAGTGCTTGCCCCCTCACAAGAGGGAGAAGTTCGCATGAACTTCCTCAGTGTTACCTCCTTACTCTCCTTCAAACCCTCTTGACAACAGTTAATATGTCGTTGTGCCATGATTCAGTGTAAGTGCAAACAGGTGGATAGTTACCAGGTTAAGCCAAGTCAAGGTAACTTTACCCTGTTTTATGCACGGGTTTAGCTTTCATGGGCAGACAGATGGACAGACTGTGCATCGGCTTGTGGCCAGTTGATCATTTGTTCATCCCTTTGGTCCCTGACGGCAAGCTGAGAGGGTAGTTTGCCTCTCTTTTTAGTTAGGTTCCTGGGATGCAGAGTGTAAAATATCCTTGGTGTAGCCAAGTGTGTGCAGGGCTTGCTTTGCATACAATGCCCACACAATTCCTCAGAGTGAGCCAATGATTAAATATCTGTGCAGGAACGATGCCACGTAGGGCAGGTCTACCCCAGTGGTACTAGAGAGCTCAGTCTCATTGCTAAAGCAGTAACCCCCACATCCCACCCCCACTCCATACATATCCACCAGGGAATGAGGCAGTGAGGAAGACCCCTGGCACTATGTTCAAGACCCAGTTTTCCAGTGTGCATAAGAGCAGCAACTTGGGGTTGCCTCAACAGCAGGACTGATAAAGACATCCCCTAAAAGATGTGCAGGGAGGACTGTGATGGGCACAGGTTAATGGGCACTCTGCTAGAAGGAGTCTCCTGTCCTGGGGTTGGGGCCAGATTGGGGTTCTTCATTAAAGCAACTCCTCTTCCTTTTATTTTGCTGAGGGCCTGGTCCTGCTCCACCTATCAGATGCCTATGTGGACCTACATGCCTTTCCAGCCTGCTTGGGTCCCTGAAGAAATCTTAATATTTTTGCTAGCATCTTAGCTTTACATCCGAGGGAAAAAAAGCAGTGAGCATGAGGACTCATCCACTTTATGCATTAACTATTTTTTCAGAGATCTGAGCATGGAAGAATAGGGTCTCACTTCCATGCTTGAATCCCCTAAGGCCCCTACTAGGTGGCCCTCTTTGTCTCCTGTAGGCTTTTGTTGTGAACCTCATACCCCACTTGTGGTCCCAGTGATGCACTCAGGTTGTAACTCAGCGCACGAATGGAGGGCCAAGAGCCTGGGGCATGAATCCCCAATTGGCCACAAGTTTAGAGGTAAAGCTGGAAGCTTGTGTGAGAGAGGAGATAGGAAAGGAGTCCCCTCGTCCTCATGGGAAGAATCAGGGAGCCTTCCCACGCAAAGTGCACCAGATTCAAGACAGAGCCTGGCAAGGAAAGACGTAGAGTGTGTGACAGAGTGGGTCACTTCAGGGGACACCAGGGATGAGCAGATGGTAGCAAATGAGACAATTCTGGTCTTGTCCCTCTGCTTAAAGTGCTATTGGTGAAAATCTTTCCAATAGACACTGGGTGGAGAACACCACCACCTTCAGATAGGCTTATGGGCCTTGATGGACAACCTGAAGTCATTCAAGGCAGGTCTTTTTTTACCTGGCCAGGTAAATAATAGCCTTCAGGCTTCAGACCTAGTCTCTCTTACAGTTCTTTGGCCTGACTTCCACAAAGTTCTCCTTTCCCCATGGAAAAGAAACAAGGCGGCATTGGTAAATGCATTGCTCCAGGGCTGTCTAGCTGCTGGTGTCCTGCCCGGGTGCTACTCCTCCCATCACTTCTGCTGCTGCGGTGGCTGGGATCTCCGGGCTCCCATTCCCACTGCCAGTATCTGCTTTCTGCCCATACCCCTCAGAGGTAAGGCAGTGGGGCCTGAGGGGGCCACAGCAGGTAGCACCCAGCTCCTCTGAAGTTGCACAGTCCTGAATTACTCTGTGTTTCACAGCTGTGGCCTATGGAGTGAGCAGCTGGAATAGAGCAAGAAAATGCCTCCAAGCCAAAGGCTCCACACAGGCTTTTCAGACAGACAGATCTGTAGACACTTGGCAAGCTATGGCCCACGTGTAATTCTCTGCAAAACCCACACAGGCCCTCTGAAGTTCAGATGTGGCTGCAGAGGTGCAAAAGCTGGATGTACTTTATATTCTCTCCCAAAGTGGGTAGGTACTTTCTTTGCTTTACACAGGAAACTGAGACTCCAGGTTGCCCAACATCATTCAGGAAGTTAGAGGCAAGGCCTGTTTCCTGATTCCAAGTCGTGTGTGCTACCCACTAGACACACCATGTCTTGACATGTATATATTACATACCAAAAGCTATGAGGAAAGCATGCTCAGGTTGCAAAATCAAGCACTCAGAAGACAGGAGATGCTAGCATTAAGATTACTTGTGCAACCTTAATCCTGTCCCCTTCTGCAGATGAATTATGATTCAGTCTTTTATTACGTCATCCCATGCTACTTATTTCATAGGATCCCAGACTCATTCAGTCCCCAGGAGGCATGGTGCTCAGGGGGAATGAAGCTGTTGTCTTGTAGAGACTTGATGGGAAAGAGATATAGGTCTGGTTGTCACCTATGTGCTGGTGACACTGAAGACCTCGGCTTCTCACTGGCTCCTCAAGTAGTCTAGGAAGGAGTAACAAAAGCAAACCCTGGGGAGCTCACGTGTAAATGTGCTCATGGAAGGGGCCACCAAAGAGCTACGTATGTGCTCCTGCAAGGTCATTCAATCAGATATCTTGGTCAACATTTTCAAATGCCCTAATGAAGTCAGGATGGATACACCAGCATCCACCTCTAGCAAGGGACAATCAGCTATGGATGATAGCACCACCTTTGTACTGAGAAAAAAGTTACCTGCGAAGATCAACATTCACTTTGCAAAGCAACATCATGGAAAGACAAATTAGCTTGGTGGCCTGTTAACTCACAGCATCCCTCTTACAAGATTATTGATTGTATCAACAGCTAAATTATTCTTACCCTGGTTTTATGTCAGGAGGTTCTGGTAATGGTTTCAGGAAGCCTTGTTTCCCAACTAGCCAATATGTGTCTTCTATCCCTTTGCCCTAAGAAGAAAATACATCTGTAACATTCAGAATTTGAGAGCCATCTCTTACACACTCATACCTCACATTTCATTCTCCAAGATCTGCATGTGCATTTGAAGGCAGAGTTTTTGTTTTTGAGCAACATATAGCTCAATTGAGAAGAGGGCTTTTGCACTGAGCTTGGGTTCCTTGCACGAAAAGAACATTCGTTGTTCAGCATAGAAGAATGGCCCTAATTAAAGCAATTCACTTAAAACTATTAGGCCTGTGCAAAGTGGCTAGTATTGGCTTTGGATTCGGCCAATTCAGGGGACAGTGATTTGATTCGGTGATTCAAATCACTGCCCCGATTTGATTCGGCTGAATCTGATTTGGAGATTCATAGATTCATAGATGCTAGGGTCAGAAGGGACCTCAACAGATCATCGGGTCTGACCCCCTGCCTGGGCAGGAAAGAGTGCTGGGGTCAGATGACCCCAGCCAGATGCCTATCCAACCTCCTCTTGAAGACCCCCAGGGTAGGGGAGAGCACCACCCCCCTTGGGAGCCCATTCCAGATTTTGTCCACCCTTACTATGAAGAACATTTTCCTGATATCTAGCCTAAATCTTCTCTCTGTCAGTATGTGACCATTGTTCCTTGTTACCCCAAGAAGTGCCCTGGTGAACAGAGCATCTCCCATCCCTTGCTGCGTCCCCCTAATGAATTTGTAGGTGGCCACAAAATCACCTCTCAGCCTTCTCTTGCAGAAGCTGAAGAGGTCCATCCCTTGGTCTCGCCTCATAGGGCTTGTCCTGTAAGCCCCTAACCATATGAGTGACCTCCTCTTGACCCTCTCGAGTCTATCAACATCCTTCTTGAAGTTCAGCACCCAAAACTGGATGCAGCACCCCGGCTGCAGTCTGACCAATGCCGCATAGAGGGGAAGTATCATCTCCTTGGATCTATTTGTCGTGCATCTGCTGATGGACGATAAAGTGCAGTTAGGTTTGCTGATGACTTTGTCACACTGACGACTCATGTTCATCTTGGAGTCCCCTATGACTCCGAGATCCCTTTTCACTTCTGTGTGCTGAGAGGGGCACTTCCCAGCCAGTCAGTGTGCTGGATATTTTTGCACCCTAGGTGCAGCACTCTGCACTTGTCCTTGTTGTACTGTATCCTGTTGTGTAGTGCCTACTTTTCTAACCTATCCAGGTAAAATCCCGGACAAGCCCTTTCTTAGTGACAGACAGGGAGAACAAGGCTGAGCTTTTCAATGCGTATTTTTGCCTCAGTGTTGCACCATTCCCTACCCTCTGGAGTGTGCACTTAACTCCACAATTTAGTATCGTTCGCAAACTTGGACAGAGTACACTTCACACCCACATCCAAGTCACTGATGAAGATACTGAAAAGTCCAGGTCCAAGGACCGAACTCGACAGGACCCCCACTACCCACATCCTTCCAAGTCGATACCAACCTGTCTACTACCACTCTCTGGGTGCGACTGCTAAGCCAATATGTCACCCGCCGGATCGTGTAAACATCTATGTCACAGCCTCTTAATTTATTTATGAGAATAGGATGAGATACCGTATCAAAGGCCTTGCTAAAGTCCAAGAAAATTACCTCTACTCCTGCATCTAAGTGTTTTGTGACCCTGTCATGATATGAAACCAGACTGGTCAGCCATGATCTACCTGCTATGAATGCATGCTGGTTTCCCTGCTGCATTATTTTTCCCACTGCACTCCCACATATACGATCCTTCATAATCTTTTCAAAGACCTTTCCAAGGATGGAGATGAGACTGACTGCCCTATAATTACTCGGATCCTCCTTCCCCCCCTTGTTGAAAATAGGGACCACATTGGTCCCTTTCCAGTCTTCCGGGACCTAACCCAAGCTCCACAAGCACTCAAACAGCCGTGCCAGTGGCTCTGCTATGACACCAGCCAATTCCTTTAGTACCCTCGGCTGAAGCTCATTTGGGCCTGCTGAAGTGAACACATCCAGCCCATCCAAGTGACTCTGCACCAAGTCAGCATCAATAGCTGGTGGGCTGGTGTCCCTCTGATGCCCATCTAAGAGCCCATTAGGATACTTATCCTGAACCTTGTTCAGCAACACCGAGGCAAAAAAGCTCATTGACTAGCTCAGCTTTGTTCTCCCTGTCTATCACTAAGAAAGAGTGTGTTCAGGATTTGAATCCAGGACCTTTCAGATCCAAACCAATAATCATGCCCCTAAACCAACAAGCCACTTGTAAGTATAGCTGCTAAATCTCCAAATCAGGCAGGCCAGGCCCATGCCCCACCCGTCTCCCAGCCTGGCAATGGCTGTCCATCTGCCCCAGCTCCAGCGCTTGTTAACAAAAAGCCCCAGCTCACTGGGTATTGCCAGGTGGGGGGTGATCCCTCTTGCCCCCACTGCCCCACGCTGAGTAGGGGAGTTGGGAGGCTGGCAGGGGTCCCCCCATGGTCCCCTCCTCCCCACCATCCCTAGTACTTACCAGCTTGGAGTCAGCTGCAGCTCCCTGCTGCAGCCACCGGGGACTGCCCAAATCATCAAAGATCTCTGAATCTTTTCTGAAGATTCAGAGAGCTATGAATTGATTTGGACCTTTAAATGATTCGATTTGGATTTGAAGATTCAGCCACCGAATTGTGCCAAATCTCCTCCAAATCGAATCACCACCCGAAGCGTCGCACAGCCCTAAAAACTATATAGTTTGACAGAGCTAAGGAACTGTATGTACATTTGCCAACTTGCTCCAAGGCTGAACGTGGTGCTCGCAGGGTTAGTCGAGAGGCTTTACAATGATAGCTGGATCTAATATGAAAATAAGTTCATTGCAATTAGGCTCTCCCTGTGCCAATAGCTCAGTGCTTTATTGAGAGGTGGCAGAGAGAGAAAATATCTAGGGTACCCTTTACTGGGAAAGTGGTTTTAAAGCGCTATTTTGAGGGTGTATATATCTATGAATTTGTTTTCTAAGTACTGTAATCTTAAGAGTAAACTACTTGCCTATGTGGATCTTAACTAGTAAGAGATACTCTTGGCTTTCTTGGTTACAGAGATGTTATGTTTGGTCTATCATTGCTATTTTTAATCATAAATGAAAAGCTTCCTTATATCCTGAATAATATGGGCTATGAACTGGAACTGGAAAGTACTCTTGCTCCCCAGGTGCGGATAGCACAACCATTAGCCTGGAGCAGGGGGAGACTGAGGTTGAATTTGCTTGGTTGTGTTTGTGGCTTACCCTCTGCAGATACATTGCATTCGGCAGAAAAAGATGCATTGTGAAATCTCATTCCAGCTGAAGACAAAGGTAAAATTCCTGTTGACTTCAGTGAGTCTAGGATTTCACCCAAATTCTTTATAACCCCTGGGTTGCACTGCGTTTACATAATATACACTGAAAGACGCTGAGCACAGAAGATACACAGTCATCCCTCTTATGTTCTGGATCAAACTTAAAATGCAGAACAGGCCCTTTTCAAATCCATGTTGTGAAAATCAGTGAAACCTCAGAAGCTGAGAACTGACTTTTCTGTGCAGGTAGTTTATGTGCTACTGGAAAGTTAGCCTTGTAAGCCTGAAGCTGGGCAGAAGGCAGAGCAGGGTGTTACCCTACAGACTAACTCAGGGGTGGGCAAAATGCGGCCCATGGGCCAGATGCAGCCTGCCAGGCCATTCTCCCGGCCCACGGGGCCCCTAAAACATTTAGAAAACTAATACATATCTGCTGTGGCTGCCTGTCATGCAGCCCTCGATGGCTTGCCAAAACTCAGTAAGCAGCCCTCCACCTGAAATAATTGCCCACCCCTGGTCACTAACTCAATCAGGGAGACATGTTTTTGTAGGCTACAGCCTATTTCATCAGATGATGAAGTGTGAAGCATGAATGGACTTGCAGAGTGCAGGGTTACCAAATAGAAAGGCATATGGTCATTTAAATACAAAGAATATTCCTTCCCCCATCTTTTGTATTTTAATGACCTTATTCCTTTCAATTTCATACCCAAGCTCTCTGCAAGTCCACTCATAACATCTGACAAAGTAGACTGTAGCTTACAAAAGCTCATGCCTCTCTGTCCTGCCTAGTCTAGTAATCAGTGAACATCTGCTATGCTCTACTAGATAAGGACTTGGTTCAGCCACCCTTATTCACATCCAGCAAAGCCTCAGTTCCCACCCATTCTCAATTCTTTGGCTATGAAGTACTCGTGGACTGTGGCATCCCAGACCATGAGGAGCAGCAGCAGAGGCCTAGCTACCTTGTTACCTGACAAAGTAGTGAGCAGAGCGCTGGATTTGCAGTGAGTAGAGTGCTAGAAGTTGGCACAATCCCCTCAAAGACATTGGACTCTACTGGTTTATACCAGCTGAGAACCTGGCCTGGAGCACTTCTTTCCATCCCATGCCTCCCACACGTGGCAGGATGCTAAGGCAGAGCAGGCATTTGGATGAAAGCTAGGGAGTTCAGCAAAACAGCTCCAGAGCTCCACAGTTACTCAAATAGATCGTTTCCATAGGCCTGACCTCAGCTCTCTTTTAAAATGAACTCCAGGGCTTAAAAACTGGGAGAGAGACTCTCATTTGGCAGAGGCTCTTTTATTATGGCACCAATGGGTCCACTCCCCCCAGCAAGGACTTCCCAAGCTAAGTTGGATCCATGAACTCTACTCCTTCATCATGATCGTCCCAAGCAGCCTTGGTGGGTCCCGTTCCCAAGAACAACATGTGAGAATCAATAGCCACCTAATTGCTTGGAGTTTCCCATGATGTCAAGAATTCACTCAGATATTAACTGCACAAGAAATGGGTGACGGGAACAGTTCATGAGGGCTTTGAGAGGAAAGGGACTTGATGGGTGGAGGCCATGAGAGAGGCTACCCACAAATTGCCATGCACCCTCGGGTTTCTTACCTTCAGTTCTGTTTTCCCCCTGAGTACTATCTCATAGCCTTCATTTAGGCTCTGAAGCGTTTCCACTGTGGTTCGGTTGACATGGATTCTGTAAGCTGCGAGTGGAAAGCAAAGTTTGAGCATTATTGTAACCACGGTGGTGCAGGGAATACATAAGAAGCAAGGGTTTGTTTTGCTTTTTTACAATGAGTCCAATTAAGGGAAAGCAAAGCAGTTGTGTTGTTTTATGCCACAAAATGTGACGTATCCACTATTTCAGCTGGCAAAAAAATACTGGGAATTACCCCACAATTGCAGGTGCTTGGCTTTGCGATGTTTAACTGGACAGAATATGGTACCTCTTGATGTGTTACTAAGCCTTGTGAAAAATGGGGTTTTGGATAAATAGGAGGCAAATGGAGGCTGCACATGGTCTTGGGGACCAGGCTTTCTGACCCAGCTAGTTACAGTAATGGATTTTGACCAGAGCTGCACAAAGTTGCTCGCATTTAAAGGAGAAAAAGAAAAGAAGGGAAATGAGTTTATCTGGTGACATTCCTCCTTCCCCAGCCTGTATTTCAACCATCTCAGGAGCTGATTGAAATATATTGACTTGCCATTGGAAAATACAAGAAGAATATTTCTAAAACATTTTCACCAACTTTCTTTCTTATTTTGTGATCAGCTCTTTTTTCAAGGGTGAGGCTCTCCCATTCCTCTCCACTTCCAGGGATCTGGTAGTTATGCCAGTTAATGTTAATGGAAAGGCCAAAGATCTCATGTTTGGAAAGTGAGATTTCTGTGTACAGAGAAGCCTGCGAGTTCAAGCTATAGCAGTAGATATTATGAGCAATCCTTCCCATCCCTTCTTATCATTATGAGAAGGGATACACTAGTATTTGGAGCAACCCTGAGCTGCATCTTGCTGGGAACTGGGATAGCCAATATTCTCGATCTCAGAACAAGTTCAAATTGCCGTTCTTCTGTTTAAAAAAATCCGGTCAACAAAACTGCCTCTCCAAACACCTCCAAATATGTAATGTGCCCCCACAATTACACAGGTTGCAATCAGCGCCCAGACAGTCGTCACTTCATGTTAAATGATAAATTTAATCTTCAGTATCTTGCAAGTTGTCAGGGCTACCAGGGGAAGCCTTATACCACCGGACAGAGGAAATTCCCTAGGGGAAATACCCTTACTGTAAACTCTCAATGTTTCAGAACTAAAGGCCACAACATGATGTTTGCATCCATCAAAAAGGCATTCCAGTTAATATTGTAGAGGTCTTCAATGTACTAGTTATTTTTCTCTTTTATCAGAAGCAAATATACGCAAGGAGAGATTTGCAAAAGCGCAAAGAGAGCTAAAATGTGCCTGCCATTTTGCATCTGAAAATCTTGCTCTTTGGATACTTGGTCTGAACTGGCTTCCACCAAAACGATGAACAAAACACCCACTGATGTCCGTGGTACAGGATTGAACCCTAAGAATGCCTAGTTTGCAAGCAAAGGAGTATGAAAACCAGAAAGAATAACTATGAGGAGGAGAAAAAAAGCGCTCTCAAATATTCTTTACATATTTGTTTCCTTAACAATTCATGAGAGCTTGGTAAGGATAAGGATTTTATTAGGATGACTATACTCAGAAGGAAAAGAATCAATAAAATTTTCACCCCGCATCACATTCTTGTATAGTCTCTCCCTTTCTCTTTCTCTTTCTCTTTCTCTCTCTCTGATGTTTTCATGGCCATGGACACCTTTTAGGTATAGCACTTGCAGAATCTTATAATCTGCCATTTTTGTCACTACCAGACAGTAGTGTGTCTTATAAAAGAGCAGTAGATTAAGAGACCTGCTTGTCATACTGAAAGCCCAGCATTTTTCTGTCCAACAGAAGGTTATGATTGGTACCCTCCAGAGGAAGGAAAATGGGGCAATATGTCCAGCAAATCATTCACTTCAGTTAATGCAATGCAGGTCAGGGGATGCAGAGTATGGTTTGGTGCTGCTTTCTCTCCAAGACTCACTAGATGGGTTTCTACCTCACATAAACTCCTGGCAGCTGGCACTGAGTGGTCGCAGTGTTGGCATCTTCAGAACAAGTGCGACTGAGCTGCCGTCTAGGCTAAGGGCCATTTGCCAGGAGGCATGCACATCCCTGGTCTCAGCTGTCCCTGGGTGATGCCTCCCTTGGAGACTTCACACCTGCAGCTTTCACCAGCCCTGACTTTGCTTAAACATTTAAAGCGAAAAAGGAGCGATTCGGCGCTCTTGCAAGCCGTGCTAATCGTTCATCTACGCACGTTGCCGCGAGCACTTACGCAGCCCGGTGGATTCCATTCGCGAAGCGGTGTTCACCGTGTCCCCAAACAGACAGTAGCGAGGCATTGTCAGGCCCACCACACCTGCTACGCAAGGCCCTGCAAGGAAACATCCCAGCAATGCATCAGTAAGAAAGAGGGGGTCCATAGTGAGACCAGTGAGACTGGCGTGAATGATGATGGGTTTGAGTCTTACCTCTTCTGTGAAAGCCATAGTCTCATACAAGGAAACAGATTGTTTTAAGAGTTGATCACCCTTTGCGTTAGTTGTCCATGCGGAAGGACTAAGAACTACCCTGGATAGTAATCGAGCTTTATTGGGCCTAGTAGACAAAGCTCTTTGGGACCAGGACATGCCACTGGTCTGATACAGCTCATTTAGGGTGTATTTCACCTCTGTTTAGACAGCCTACAAGATCTCCTTGGCTTACTTATATCCCATTATAATTTGTTAGTTATAACCCTCATTAATATAGAGAGGAACTGAGACTTAGAGCTGGAATTTGCCCAAGGTCACCACCAGGTAGCATGAAAGTCAGGAGCAGAACTGAAGTGATCTTGGCAATGCATCAGACCACACCGCATCCCTCCCTAGAAAAGGAGACACGATTATTGTCTGTCTGACAAACCAATGTTTACTCTCCCTGTATCTCATGCCTTATTCAAGATCCACTCCTTTCTAAAGTAGCTCTCCAAGAAGTCATGCTGCGTGCCAAATTCTCAGCGAGACGATATGCCTGGAGGATTTTCTCTGTCTCTCTGTCTCTGTCTCTGTCTCTCTCTCTGTCTCTGTCTCTGTCTCTCTCTCTCTCTCTCTCTCTCTCTCTCTCTCTCTCTCTCTCACACACACACACACACACACAGAGTTTTAAAATGCAATTGTCCAGACAGGACGTACACATCTCATGTCAGGGTCTCAGCCCGGATTATGCTCCAAAGAGGTAAGGTAAGAATGTACGTGCAGGCACCTGCGTTTAAAAATTGCGTTTACAAAATGAATGCCCGCAACAATCCTGTGCTTGAAGAAGGGCACCTGTGCCTGAAAGCTTGCAAATAAAGACTTTTTTTTTTTTTGCAAACTTCTAGTCGTTCTAATAAAAGAGATCACCTCTGCCATGAGTTCTGATTCCTTGTGTCTCTAGGCCAATACGGCTACAACCTGGATACCTGACACAACAATCCCAGTTAGGTGAGGAGATGCACCGTTTATCTGAGAGAAGGATAGACTTCTCACAGACAAGGTTCTTTGTATTAATTTGATCTCTTTTATTAGACTCAAATTCTTCTTTGAAAGCATTAGGGTACAAATACCCTTCATCAGGCTGAGAAATCATCTGCGTTGGCGTGTGCTCTTCCTGGATGGAATAGACTTCTCTGTATTTTTATTCAGGTACACTTATACCAGCTGTGTGTTAAGGGGTACACATGTGTTTGTGGCTGAGTGTTACTAGATAACATTATAAGTGTATGTAGCCCTTCCACTTTATGGTTATTCTGGGTATAGTTTTAGTTTATCCTATCTGAGCCCCTGTCCATACCAGCTTAAAACATATAGGCATGAGTAGTGATAATACATCGTGGTCATGTATCATATAGGTAAGCGAAGACGTCATGGTACACGTGGGAAGTTACGGCAATTCTAAAAGCACAGAAACAAGTCTATTCAAAACTAAAGTCATTCTTTTTGTGGGGGGAAAAGCTCATGTCTAGGGAAGCTAAACGTTATCACAATAGCCAGCCAGGGAAGATATCAAGGAAAAGTACAAGCTGTTCAAGACACGTGTTGTAATGAACTGGCAGCAATATATTATCAGTCCATTCCTAGCTGTACTGCAGTAACATACAGGGGCTTCTGTTTGAGCCGGGACCCCACTGTGTTCTGCACTGCGTGAACACAGCATGAAAAGACAGTCTGTACCGTGAATCTAAGTCTCAGGCCAGAAAAAATATTTGGCCCTTCGCTTAACTGAATTCGCTAGTTAACGCCACTTGCACGCATGTGTTCTGCCTTGTCAAGACGGGCTGAACAAGACCTGATTCATTCGGAGATCGTGCTCCCACAGTAACAAGTTTAAAAGGAAACCAGAATGGCTGTGATGATTGGTTTGGGCCCCATGGCCTTATTATGATGGGTTCCTCCGTTCTGGGTTTGTTTTAAAATGGCTTGTTGCTGGTGGACCTGGGTTCGTTAATGAGCCATGTTGGCTAAGCCTCTGCAACAGCCATCAGTAATGCCGCAGAGGTTCATAAACTGAGCAAAGTACAAGGTTGTCTGCCAGAGATTCAGGCCCTGAGAAACAGGGCCCTCTAAGCATGCTTGGAAAAGCTCATCCTCTCCCCCACTGCCCTCTCCTGCTGTTCAGCTCCAGCCTGGACATTGCCAGTGTTTGAACACCTCAGCTGCTTTTGTTGGAGAGACGGTCCCATTACAAGATTTGTGGCTCATAAAGTTTCTTCAAGACTTCACTGTAGACCAGAAAATGGCCTTCCCCCTCCACCAAGCCAGATGTGCAGGCAGGGGTGACTGGTGCCTCTTGAGTCTGGCGGGGCACAATTTGTGGGCAGGCCCGGGGGCAGGCCAAAAGCCCCATATCCACTCCTATACTTCTGAGCCGTGGCTTAATGCCCCCACCCCAACACACCGCCGGCCCACGCATCAAAAAAAAAAAGCCCTGTCCTGAGTGGTGCTAAGTCAGGGGCCAATCTCAGGGGGGCATGTGCTCCCCTGTGCTCCCCCAACCAGTCACCGGTATGTGCAGGAGGTAGATGTAATAGAATCATCAAATCCTAGAAAGAAGAACCAGAAGGGACCTGTAAGATCATCAAGTCCAGTCCCCTGCCATGGGCAGGAGATAATTGGGCTCAAACAAGTCCAACAAGGTATTTAATAGCTAGCAGAACTTCCCTATGTCACTCTCCCCATGTTGGGTAGGGTTGCCAACCCTCCCGGATTGGCCAGGAGTCTACCGGAATCGGCATCAGTCTCCCAGTTTGATATCATGAACAGGCTGAATAGTACAATTAATGAACTTATGTCATGTTGGGGAAAAAAATTTCCTGGAATAGCTTTAGTCATAGTTGGCAACTCTAATGTTGGGTGAAAGCAAGCAGAATAGCCACCAGTAACCTTTGTAGCACACATGACCATGGCAGTTTCTACTATTTCCAAAGGGGAGCACGAGCTTCTCTCATCACCTTCCAGCTACCCATAGGTACTCAAGAGGTGTTGCAAAGGCTCTTACCCACTCTCTCCAAAATGCAGAACACATCAACCAGGGCCCCCATCTAGTGCTTCCTCATCACTCTACCAACAAAAATGCTTTATGGCTTTTTCCTTCCCAAGAAAAATGAGGAGAATATGGTCACTCAAGCACTCCTTTGGCTCAGTGACTTGAAGAGCTCCTTTTGCCTGTACCACAGGTTCTTGCATTACCCATGAGGTGCTAATCTGGACTATTTTAGTGCATCTCATCCTTCCTGAGTTCACTGCACAGCCAAAGCTGGCTTCTGAAACTGAAATGCTACACTAGCTTAAAAAAAACCGAGCAACCAACCTCTGCACACAACAATTAATGGCTTCCCAGACTTACAAACTTTGTAAAAACAAAGCAAAATAATACAATTCATGAACTACCTAGGAGTATATTTTTGCTAGTATGCAGAGAAGTCAAGTTGCGTAACTCCTGTCAGCACACACCAACAGACGTTGCACATTTAAATCCAATCTTTCTGAGCTAAACATCAGCATTTCAGAAAGCTCCTCTATGAGGAAGTGAGTTTGGGGGTATGCTCTTCTTCAAACACTTTGCAAACATGAATGAACCTAAATCTCCCAGTAGAGAAATGAAAGAGGAGCACAGGGCTCGGGGGAGGGCCTAGTGAGTCAGGTATTGGCCTAAAGCATGGAAGACCTGGGTTCATTTTCTAGTTTTGTAATCTTACTTGATTACAGGAAAGACATTTTTCTTTCCTGTGCTTCACTGTCTTCCTATGTAAAATGGAGACAATGACACTGACCCTTTGGTAAAGTGCTTGGACATATAAAAAGTTGGGCACTGCTTCCTTTTATGTCTCAATGACATTCAACTTGTGAATAGGGATGGGGATGTGGACCAGAACAGCACTCCATCTACTGCAGTACCTGGTCTCTAACAGCTTCTTTTCCCTTGTCCATGCTCATCTCCAGAATTTTATTTAGCGTCATGCACTGGCTCCTCAGATGCATTTGAGGACCAGTGGGTGCTAGCTGAAGTTCTCTGCTCAGTGTTTCCCCTTACACCCCAGTTGCTAACCCATAACTAAGGACCTACTCAAATGGCAATTTCACATTTTGCAGAAATCACAAAATCCAGCATTGCTCATGAAATTGGGCAATGTCTGTGAAACCTGTAAGGGGAAAACCTTATTGAAAATATAATGCTGGGTCCCACAAGGGAGACAGCAGTCCTCATGGCCACCGTGGCCTGGTTGCACAGCCCGCTGGGGCGGGAAGCAGAGAGTGGAGTCGACACAAAGGGGAGCCCAAGACGGCTGCTGTCTCTACCCCTAGCCACTGATTGGCTCAGAGGTCTTCTTGTCGTGCAGCCCTTCCTCTCTCCACCAGTTGGCTGATGGACCTCTCAGCCAATCAGCAGCAAGGGGACCTTCAGCCAGTTAGAGGCATTGGGGGTGGGGCACCACAATTCACCCATGAAAATGGTGGCTGGCCCTACGATCTACCCACGAAATCGGCTGGCTGCCTCCTCAATTTGAGTAGACCCCTACCTATAACCTGCACTCCTCTTCCTTTTTTCTCATGATTTGTATCAGGTTATTAGGTGTTTTACATTTAGTGCCCTCCCTCAAGCCTGGAGGAAGGGTTGCAGATCCTGGTGAGTCTAGGCCAGCGATTCTCAACCAGGGTTGTCCTGCATCTTGGGGTGACACAGGATCCTTTAAAGGGTGTTGGAAGGTGCAAGAAGATAAGTAAAGACTCATACTTGGTCCCTACCGCCACTGTCCAGCCCATCCAGAAGGAGGTAGGCACTGCAATAAATCCATTTTAGAAATAGGGTGCCACTCAACTTACACAGGTTATGAAGGGGGCCCTGAGTCTAACAAGGGGGAGCCTTGAGTCTAACCAGAGAGACCTTGGTTCTCAGAAAGGGTGGCTTTTGTCTAAAAAAGGTTAAGAACCACAGGTCTGGACCCACTGTCAATGTCTAACAAATAGGCCTGCCTCTGACAGCGGCCCATACTAGAGGTGCAAGAAACACAGCGACTGACATTTGTGGAATAATCAGCATCTTCCTAACCACCGTTTGTTAGCAACTGACTTCTGCCCTAATGCATGAAAAAAATGTTTATACCCTGTATAGCATAACAGCTGATGTCTCATTATCCATGTAGGATCCCAATCATAGCAGGAATCCGATGAACTCTTTGGCTTTCATTATATTGAATTTCTGTGAGTTCTGCAGGCTAAGTATAGAAAAACAGATTCCTTTTTTTTCAGTGTAAAACGTGCAACTTGGTAGTTTGGTCACTGAATACCATTTGAGAGAGGAACATCCAAGTTACTGCCTTTCTAGCACTGAGTATGCTTTATGCTTGTATTGTGTACCCTCTTACTTGATTTCTCTCTGCCCTACATGTTTTTTGAGCTCTCTTTACAAGGAAAGTATTTTCCATGTCTCTACATTTCAGTTTATTGTTGCAGGAATTTAACAGTGAGACTTATGTGGCTAAACCCATGCATCGCACTTAAAATTTAATCCACATGACTAATCCTTTTAGTGGGTTGTCGATGTGTAATAAAAGCTACAGTTTGGCCTGTAATAATAGTCACTTTCCTGCTTGAAATATTTTCCCCCTTGCTGCTTGAAGGGTCTGTGATATCTTCCAAGTGCAACTGAGCAGCTAGGAAAGTAAAAAATGAATGTTTTGAATCTGCAGGTTGCATAGCTTGACCAAGTAGGGCAGACTGCTGCTACCTACCTGTATGCAGTCCTATTCGTATCCTGACGGGTACTTCTGGCATGTGCCTCATTTTAAAAGAGCCCACTGAACTGAGAATGTCCAGAGACATATTGGCTATTTCAGCAGCGTGCTTGTTTCCATTTCGTTTTGGAAGCCCTGATGCGACCATGTAGGCATCACCAATTGTTTCCACCTGAAAAAGAAGGACAAAAAACCCAATGGAATTAAACTTCAAGAGTCTGATTTTATTACCACTTCTGGGGCCTCAGATAAGAAGTGGACATGAAGTGGAGTTCAAGCATTGCTCTGGTTTTCCCTGCAATGGTGACGCGTACCCGAACAGACACCAGTTAATGAAACACCCCAGCCAAGGGGTTTCAACCAGGGGGGCCGAGTTATAAGCCTTTCCTCACCTTGTAAACATCATGGTTACCAAGGACAGCATCAAAGAGTGTATAAAGATCATTGAGGAGATCGACCACCTCAATGGGCTCACTGAGGGCGGAGATGGTCGTGAATCCAACGATGTCACTGAAGTAGATGGTGACCCGGTCAAAATATTCCGGTTCGACTGTGCCACCGGTTTTAAGTGCTTCTGCCACTGACCTGCAATGACAGGAGGTGATGAAAGGCAACGTGACAGGCATCTTTATCCTTGTAAGTTCAAATGATCTTAGGATGGAAGACGCTATAGATTGTGACCTGTTGGTATAGCTTTTGATCTGAGGGCCAGGACTTTTACTTGCTTAGCGGCTCCAGATAACAACTGGATAATCCACTGCTACCCATTTACAAGTATTTTTTAGTAGTGGGTGGAAGGCAATTGACTTTGGCTTCAGATGAACCCTTGGTTCTCACCTGGGCGGACAGTACCATATTTTCTCACATACCACACACCCCAGCATAAAATATACACCTTGATTTTTGAAAGGCAAAATGAAGACAAAGAGATCTTTGAGAGTAGCAGCAGTGAGAGAACAGAGCCTGCCCATTGTTCTGCTTTCTATGAGTCCATGCAGATTTTATTTTTACTTTTGCCTGGTAACCAGCAGAAACTGCTCTTACCATATTCCTTGCATATAATGCAAATTGCAATTTCCAGCAGGTGTTTTTTAAAAAAATAAAGGTATGGTCTGTACATGAGAAAATATGCACCTGCCGTAGGCCAAGATCCTGCTATCATAGATTCAGCTGAATCTGTGAGAGCACATGTCCAGAGGTCCCTAACCTCAGTAGGTCTCCATGTGGGCAATGGTGTCCAATCACACAATCACAACCATAGCTTGGGAAATTTTCAGAGCACCTGTGGGTCCTGTAAGGGAGGGGTGCCAAACATTTGGCCCATGGGCCAGATCCAGCCTGTGAAATGGTGGTATCTGGTTTATGGGCCTCTGCAAAGATCAAGGAATTTGGGAGCAAGGCAAGTGGGGGGTACAGAGGCCCACTAGGGATGAATTTCAGCAGCGGTAGGTAAGCGATGGCTGCATTAAATAGCTGCCCGGCGTCTACCACTTGCCCCAGCACCAGACGTGAGTCCAGATCCAGCCCCTGAGGAGCCCTGCAGTCCACATCCCACTTAGGTGGTCCACCCATTTTGTTGCCCCTGCTTTAGGGCAGAGTGGCTTCATAACTAGACTGCCCTTGCATTATTTTACTTACGGGGGGAGCATTTGTGACAGAAGTTTCTCTGTCTTCTGTTTTTCAATTTCCAGCTCTTCTGTCCGTTCCCGAATTAAATCTTCCAGGTTGCTTGAGTACTGCTCAAGCATTCTGAGCATGGAGTCAATTATATTGGTTTTTTTGCCTTTGTTGATGGTTTTGAACTGGAAAATTAAACAGCAGGGTCATTTCCCCGTATTATTTTAAATCAGCACGGGGATGCTTGTATCAGGGGGACAGAAGCGGAGAAAAATCCTATGCCTGTCAAAGCTGAAGGTGAAATTGTGATGAAAGGTTTTGTCAAATGCATAAACTCTTTAAGATCCCAGATCAATTTAGCAGTCTTATTAGCAGGTGGCCAGCCCTGCTCAAAGCCTAAGCAACACTTAAATCCCACATAAGTCTTCTTGGGCATAAAGCCACCATTCCTATTTTGCACAGGGTTTCCATAAAGGTAGGGAAAATCTTGGCCCCTGTGGGGATGCCCCATTGAGTGGTGGCCTGGGGCTATCACCCTTGAGTATGTGTGCCCCTGCTTAAGCAAGCATGTACACAGTCTCCTTTTATTCCCCTTCCTGAGTTGTACTGGACACTTCTATGGTCCAGCAGAGGATCCAGGGCATCAACCCAGATTTTATGTTGCATGCTGCCTCATTCCCATCTATTGCAATCAAGGGGAACTGCACAGATGCATCTGACAGCACAATTCCTTATATGTTCACAGAGCTTAAGGACAGAAGGGAACCACTGGATTATGTAGCTCAATCTCCTGCATGTCACAAGCTATTAGATGGAAGCCAGCGTCTGCTGCTGAATTTGGACCTTACCAGGTGCTTGAGCGATTGCCCTGAAAACAAATGAAAAGCTTTTTAGTGAACCTTTCAAGGTGAAACAGTAGCTGGCGTTCACACTCCGCTCTTCACAGACCCAAAGCACAATGCGTATGTTAATCCTAACCCTGTCACAACGCGGGTAAGTGTTGCAATGCTGAGACACCAACTCAGATTCCACCCCAACTCAGGCCTCGTGCTGTAGTACACCTGAACTGGAAGGTGACATATGGGGAGTAAAGCAGCCCAGCTGATGTAAATAGTGTTTGAAGACTTCATGGGGAGCCAATAGCAGAGCCATTAGTTCCCTGCCAAAGTGAGCTTCAAAGACCTCTTGCCTTTAAAAAAGGTACTCCTCTTCCAAGTAGGAATAGCAGAGGACTACAACCTACTTACTGACCTTATTAAATACCTCCTCAAATGTTGGTCTTCGTTCTGGTGATTCGCTCCAGCACTGTTTCATCAGCTGAATACACTCCAGGGGGGCCAGCTCCATGGCGATGTTTGGCCGACAGATGGGTGGAGGCTTCTTCACCTTCTGGATGATTTCTAGAACAAAAGAAGATGGCAAAATACATCACAGAGGCTTTCATTTGGTGGGCAGGAGAGGCACTGCACTTTTTGCCTCCCCATTGCTGGCTCCAACATGGCCTGAGTCTGTCTGGCCAAAACTTCTGCATCTGGCTGCTGTGTAAAATGGGCTTTATAGTTTCTGCCCTGTTCCTAGCTGCCAGGTAATAATAAACAGCTACTAGTACTTGGCTGGGAGATTTAATAGCTAGAGACTGAACTGCTGTCTTAGATGTGGGGCCCACATCATCATGAATAACGTAGGGTAGCAGGGAGCGTGAAGGAAGCTTGTGTTATCAGTAGCAAGGCTATTGACAGACAGGTCTTCCAGGTCCTACGCTGCCAATAAGGTCATTTGATTACAAGACTTCCTGGAGTTTACTTATTTCTTTTTTAAAGGATATTGGAAAAGGCAAGCTGTATGGCAAGGTCTGTCATCACAGGCTTCAGTCTTGCAAGATGGAGATCACCTCCTGTGAGCTGGTTATCACCCACAGCTCTCATTACCTTCCAGGACTAGAGCCTTTATTTCCAAAATTGGCATTGTGAGTACCCAGAGGTTGTCAAGTTTTTGGCTACCTCATATTTAAGGTCTCCTCCTGTTACTTAAGGCAATCGTAGTGTTTCCCACCAATGACACTTAAGATCTCCCTCCTATCTTAGGCAATTCTGCAGCTTCCTATCAACGTAGAAACAAAACACATGGCCCAAACAGCATGTTTCCTTGGTGAGCCAGGAAAGATGATTTCATCAGACAGTTTAAAAAGTTCACTCCACTGGGGAGAGCTACTTGAGCATTATGGAGCAATGAGTGGAAATTCATCATTTTATCCATCAGAGCATGAAACTACAGAGCACTCTGCTTAACATCTGCTAGAGAAAACTGCTGGAAATGCTACTAATGGGCAAGGTGGGGAGAACAGCTGGGAACGCAGAAGAGCCAGTGTTGATTCTGGCTTGAGAAGCAGAAGAGCATCCTTAATTAAAGAGCTTGTGGCATCATCATCACCATGATCATCACCATCATTATTGTTATCATTATTGAATTGGGATAGCAGCTGGGCTGCCAACAAAATCCTGGGCTTCTTGTGTTATACACCCATATAAAACCCAACAATTCCTTCCCCACAATGCTCTACACTAACACTGATGAATCACTCTCCAGCAGACTTACTCATTCGCCCATCACTTATAAAATCATACCATACAAAAGTAGGTCTGGAAGGGCCCTCAGGAGGTCATCTAGTGCAGCCCCCTGCTCAAGGCAGGATTGTTCCTGACTAAACCAACTCAGCCAAGTGTCTGTCTAACCTGCTCTTGAAAACTTCCAGGGATGGACATGCCACAATCTCTCTAGGTAACTTTTTCCAGTGCTGCATCACCCTCAGACTGAGAAAGTGCCTCCAAATAGCCAACCTACATTCCCTTTGCTGCAATTTAAGACCTGCATGATTGCATCAGGGGAGGATTTACAATGGCATGATGTTGCCTCACTCATCCTTGTTTGTGTGTGAATGCTACTTACTTTCTAAGGCCCAAAATACTACTCTCCAGCACATAAATACATACCCCATGTACTACAGGACAGGTGATTGAGTAATGCAAGTTCTGTTCCATGGAAAAAAGCCAATATTTTGGCAGTTGGATGAAAAGTCAAAATATTTGAACTTAGATGGTCCTGATTCACTGTGGCACCTCAATGCCGGAGGAGCGCCTGGTGCATTATCAGAAATGTAGTTCGACTAGGGACTAGGACTCATAGGAAGCCGTGAAGCCTGTGAAACCTGGACCTGAACCTCCCATGAAGCATTGTGGGTGGAAGGGTTGATAAAGAAAAGAAACATTTTGATTTTCTTGAGGTAAAATCAAGCTTTTGTCCCAGAAAATAGCAACCGTATTGGAATCTCGTTTTCTCACACGAAAATGCAACAAGCAGCCTTTCAATATGCTACAGATTTTCTACTGCTCCGAAATGAAAACCGCACCATGTCCTACCGGCAGCAGGGAGATCTGTGGTACAGTACGGCGGCCCTCGAACAATTACTTCTTGTAAGATGATGGAGAAGCTATAAATGTCTCCTTTAAATGTGCCTGTTCTGATCATGTCTGGCTCTCTCAGTAATTCAGGAGCTGTCCAAAGCAGTTCTGAAAAACAGAAGTGTTCAGAGGGATGACATTTCTGCACTGGGGCTCAGGTTGTTGCCACCTAAGCACATTCATGTGAAACCAAATTGCACAGATGTTGTGCTATTCACGGTCATCGTCCCTTTGCATTGCGCCCCTTCTCTACAGTGTTTGTCTAGTGAAGAGTCATTAAGATGAGTCAAGTGCTCCGTTCAAATGACGGAGCCAGGTATCAGGCAAAGGCACTGGGTACAGCTTGAGGACCTGTATGCTCATGCTGTTTTCATGATTGAACCAGGTTAGGCCCTGAGCCTTCAAATCAATAAGTACACACCTTACTTTTTTGGAAAGGAGTAAAGTTAAGTATGAAATCTTTGCCAGATCGGCCTCCTTGATTTTGCAGTGCATCAAAAGTTGAGATTCCACCTTGGGAAATCTTGAATTATCTTTTTTAACTGTCCGCCAAGACCAGAAATCTAAGATTTTTGTCACTGTCAACTGTTCCCCGCCCCACCAACTTCTTTGCTTAACGCCTTCCCAACCAAGAAACATTGAATTATTATACCATTTTATTGAGACAGGAGCATGGATCTTGTGATAGGTTATTCCTATTCAAAGGAAAACGCTTCCCACAAGGACAGCCTATTCTGTTTACTTGGGATGAGGAATGCTTCAGACATGGCGGTCAGTCCGACTTCTGCAAGGAATTGCTGGAGCTAGAATCCCATTGAAATATATGAGGGCCAAAGTTGACCCCGACTAAGAAAAATGACAAACAGCCACAGACACCAGGAGAGCAGAATTTAAGAATAAGCTGGGCTTATGACTTGAAACTCAAGGCAGGAGCCAAGCTAGGATAAATAGGGCCAGACTAGCGATTTTGGTACAAAACGGTGATGTGCTTGAAATACGACTTTCAAGAGAGGGGCTAGTAACAGACGGTTTCCACCGTCATGATCCCCATTCACTTGAAAAAACAATCTCTGTTCAGTTTGGTATTGAAGCTAGATCCAAAACTACAAAGCTGAGATTGGGTCCATGGATTTGAATCCAAATCCGCTACACCACAGAAATTCGGGGTTATTTCTGATATGAAGTTCCAGTTGGGGGACTCTTTAATTACGATGTGTTTAACATCTGTCATTGCTTATAATGAAATCCCTTTCCACTATGAAGTAGTTTTTCTATCGGCTTTTAGTCCCCAAGAAGCCACTAGAATTAGTGAGCATATACTCAATTTTAATAGTACATAATACATGGGTAACAGTTGGTTTATAAGTGAGCAGTTCCTCATGCCGTCATCAACCCGCAATTTTAGGAAGACCCACAACTAGTTCTGTGAAATCAATCGGCATCTATTTCTAGCCCGTCTGTCCCTGCAATGCCTACCTTCTGGTGATCGCTCAGCACGCGGACATTTTTGTGCTTCTAAGAGCTCATTATATCCATAATCAGTGATCTTCAGCACAAACCGCCCGTCCACCACGCAGTTACGAGACTTGAGACGCCCATGAGGAAAATCCCGGTGATGTAAATACTTAATTCCCTGTTAAATATATAATAATGACACTTTTTGAAAAAAAAATAATAGTGATTATTTTGAGACACCAGATCACGTTTTGCTCTAACTAGTGCCAAACTTTGTGTTTTGGGCCCCTCTCTATTTGTCAACAGCAAAAGGCCATTCAACAGGACTGATGCTTTCCTGAGAAGTCACAGTCCTCTGCAAACTTCTGGCTTGTTTATACTATACATAGTTACATCCACCATAGGGCTTTCCTAGTGTGAGCAGGGGATTTACTTTAATTAAATCCATCAGAAGAGATGATTTGAACATCCAGTCCAGTTTCACATCCTCGTTTCTCAGGAGGTCTTCCAGGCTGCCTCTGGAACAGTGCTCTGTCACTATGGCAAAGAGGCCGCAGTCGGAGAAAAAGCCCATGAATGGATTCACGTTTTCATGACGTAGATCTTTCATCTAAAATGACAACATGAATCACAGGAGAAAAAGTTAGCCAGACATCTGCTCAGCGGCTGTTGGGGTGGTGATAATCTAACCTATTGCAATGGACTCCCCCATAGGCCGCGAACCTAAGAACTGCAATTGTCCCTCACAACAGCACAAGGGTTGGCAAGGACCAACTCTTTAAATGTTCAGCTCTGCACTATATTAGCTCCTCCATATATTATTGTGATTGTACATTAGTCAGCCAGCTAGAAGATAAAACTGCTGGAGGAAGGTCAACAAGCAATTGTATTCCTTTGGATGGGTTGGGCCAGATTCTTAGCTGGGATAAAGTGGTGCTGCTGGGATAAATTGACTTCAGCAGGTGTTGATTGACACTAGCTGAAGGTCAGCTAGTTTTGCAGGATCATGCTGGCATATCATGCTGCCGTGCCGTTGCCTTGACTATTTAGACTGCCTCCAGAATGATGGCTATGGAGGAATGCCCTGGCAAACCCTTCTTATGCAGCAAAACTTCCCCATGTTAGCAACAGCAGATGGCAGGCCAGTGACCTTGAATCTGAATAATTAATGTGTGTGGTTGTCACATATTGAATGTCACAAGGAGACTTTTGAGAGGCAAATGAGTTGGAAATACAAAGCAAGCCCTGGAGAAATCTATGGCCTTGTTATTGTCACAGGGGTTGCCAGACAACAAATAAGGCATGAAAATAGCCACTAGGTGCATTATCTTTGGCTGATGCCTGAGTCATCAGGGAGGACTTGTTCCAAACTAATGTGCCTTCGAAGACACAGTCACACAGGAGGCTCATTTTGCATTTATTCAATGCCCCATCAGCCTGGAAGCATCAGGCCCACGGTGGGATTTAGCAAGCCAATGACTGAAACACGGGTTGTTGGCAGGCTTGTCGGCTTCAATCCTGTGCATGTCACTTCACAGGGGTCTCACGCGACGGGCACCATTAACAACTGTGATGCACAACTCAAGGCATAAATGCAAGTTATAGAGCATCCAAATCCCTTCCAGTCTCCGAGGTATGGCTGCAGCTGTCCACTATGTCCCCATTCAGCCGCTGCTCCTACCTTTCGCAGTATGCCGGTGGAACTTTGTCGCAGGTCTTGAAATGCTCCCGACTCAAATTTCTTCAGCCACACCCAGTCTCCCTGTCCACAATACAAGTGGGTCAGTGAGAAATCAAACCCTTTGGCAAAAGTTAAAGCTAGAAAGGGAGGCCTGTACCCAAACTTTGAAGTTCAGGTTGGCTGCAAACTCCATGACTCTGGACTGTCCCTATCCTGAATCTGACCCAGAACACGAGATGCAAGGCCTCTTGGGACTGGGTGAGGTAGGATCTGGACTTGGACTGGAACTTCATTAGCACTTAATGAGGAGCCCAAACATGAGTATTACCTCCTGTCGGCTCCCACCAGAGTCCTGCTGTGGCTTTTGCAGCCTACTTTGTTTTTGATGAGCTCTCCCTTTTCTTGGATTCTTTGCACCATTTTTTTTTGTAGAAACATCTACTTCTTCTAGGTGTTGTCTTCACTCATACTCCATGCAACCTCAATTACTCTTTGACCTTTGCAATCATGTACACCATATTAAAGAGTCCTTCTTTGTGGTGACTGGTAGCTGGTGACAGGTAGCCTTCTGAGACAGTGAAACTGGATATAACAGCTGTCACCATAGGTAATTGGCTACAGTTGGACCTAGACAGGTTACAAGGATGGGCGGAGGAGAACAGGATGGGGTTTAACACAGGCAAGTGTAAGGTGATGCACCTGGGGAAGAACAATCGGCACCAAACATACAGGCTGGGGAACTCCCCTCTTGTCAGCACGGAGGTGGAAAAGGATCTGGGAGTCATTATTGACTCCAGGATGAACATGAGTCGGCAATGTGGGGAGGCGGCTAGGAAGGCCAACTGCACCTTGTTGTGCATCCACAGATGCATCTCGAGCAGGTCCAAGGAGGTGATCCTCCCCCTCTATGCGGCACTGGTCAGGCCGCAGCTGGAGTACTGCGTCCAGTTCTGGGCGCCGCACTTTAAGAGGGATGTGGACAGCATCGAGAGGGTCCAGAGGAGGGCCACTCGTATGATCAAGGGACAGCAGGGTAGGTCCTATGAGGAAAGGTTGCGGGACCTGAACCTGTTCAGCCTTCAAAAGAGAAGGCTGAGGGGGGATCTTGTGGCCTGTTATAAACTGGTTAGGGGGGATCAGCAGGCGCTGGGGGAGTCCCTGTTCCCCCGAGCGCCGCAAGAAGTGACCAGGAACAATGGTCACAAGCTGGCGGAGGGAAGGTTTAAGTTGGACATCAGGAGGTGCTACTTCACGGTCAGGGCGGCTAGAGTCTGGAACCAGCTTCCAAGTGAGGTTGTGCAGGCTCCCACCCTGGGGGTTTTTAAGAGGAGGTTAGATGACCACCTTATTGGGGTCATTTGACCCCAGTGCTCTTCCTGCCAAGGCAGGGGGTCGAACTAGATGATCTGCTCAGGTCCCTTCCGACCCTAGAAACTATGAAACTGTGAAACTATAATTAGCAGAGCTGGGACCCAAGGCCTTTTTCATGGCAACACAGGGCTTCTACCACTTATAAGAAGAAAGTTGCTCCATTAGCTGGTAGCAGCTGAAGGGGAAGCTCTCTACCCCCAAACTGGGACAAAGGGAGTGTACTTGGTTGAATGGGATCCTGGAATCAAGAGGCGGTCTCTTCCCAAGAGGAGCACTTCATTGGAAAGCTAAACATAAGTTTAACTAGTATTCAGATTAAGCAATAGATATGCAAAAACCTTCTCATACCTGGGAAGATGGTGTAAGCTGGACCCTAGGTTCTCTGAGCTCTTGTTAGTTGTTCAATTCCCCCAACAACTTGGACTGACTACTCCCCCACAGCTCAAGCCCATTGTTCCCCTCCTCCCTCCTCCCCAGATTTACAATCATAGATGTACAAGCATTAATGACATGTTAAAATTTTATTCGGTGTATGCTAATAAAAGGGGTAATCATGAAGACTCCCCACCTCTGGCTAAGTGGAGAATCTATGATCAATTTACCGAGGATGGTCTTTCAGACGTTATTAGTTAGGACTCTTGAAAATGAGTGCTGTTCTTTATGGGAATGGGTTTCAACTATTTCGTGTTACTATGGGTAGACACTTACTCAGTGCTTTCCTGTTTGAATCAGCAAAAAAACATGGAATCTGGCCTTACAAATCTTCATACAAGGCTACCCAGAGTTTTTATCATTTTAAGCTACACACAAGAACATAAGAACTGCCATTTACTGGGTCAGCTCATACATCCATCTTGTCTAGTACCCCATGTCACAGTGACCTGGGTCGGACCAGGGTTTTTTCCACTGTTGCTCTCTCACTTTGGGTGCCCGTAGATGTGCAGAGAGGCTGCTCCGACATGCTGTAAGTACAGTGCACTGGAGCAGACTCAATTAACTGAGTCTGCTGGAGCGTGCTAATTAGTGCACTCCAGCAGCCTCTGCATCTTGCCTATCAGCATCCCTGCACTTCAAAATGACAGCAGGGGTGCTTTAACTAAAGCTCGTTTGACGAGCTCATCAAACAAGCTTCAGTTAAAGTGCCCCTGCCACCATTTTGAAGTGAAGGGATGCTGATACACAAGATGTTGTGGGCACTTTAATTAGGGTGGCATTCAGAGCTGCTCTAACTAAAGAGCCCCCTCCCTCGCAACCCAGAGCATGTGTAAAAATACCTTTGAAGCGTCCAGCATTTAATGTCTAGGAACTTCTGATTCGGAAGCTGTGCCCCTAACTCCCTGCTCAATAGCTCCTGATGCCCCTTTCCTCCAAGAATGCGTTCAACCTCTTTTTTTTAATCTGGCTAAATTGTCAGCGTCTGCAATATCTTGTGGCAATGAGGTCCACACTTTAAGGACGCACCTTTTGTTAGTTTTAACATTTACAGCCGCCTCTTATTTTCATATAATGGAAGATGTATATAAGATGGAGGCACTTCTGGCAAGGTCACTAATCACTGGCAATGCATAGGGCATGCATGTGTACCCCCGAGCTTAGCAGTGCACCCTGTGCAAAAAACACCGCCCACGTTGCCGGTGGCATCTGCAGGCGGTCCCTGATCACTGCTGGCCACCGCCGATGCTGCCGGCGGTGTCTGCAAGTGGTCACCAACCACCACCCCCACGTTCCCACCACCAACACCACCGGCCTGCTCGCCACCGCCACGGCCCCACTGCCACCTGCAGTGTGCCCCCCCCCAGCCTCCAAGGGCATGCGATGTTCATGCCTCTAATGCATTCCTTACAGCAGTAGTAGGCTATTTTCCTCTCTATAAACTAACCACTAAATGATGGTGAAACACACCTTACAAAAGGACTACATGGGCCCATGATTACCTCAAACAAAGCCACACTGGAGGTTTCATGTGTTGCCTCTGTGCTTTCCAGAGACGAGGAGCGAGCCGTTACAGATTTCAGGCTTCGGCCATCAGAAAGTGTCTTTGCATCACTCAGGCTACTCAAGGTCAGCCTCTGTCAAAGTAATTAAACTAGATATTAAAAAAGCAGCTCCTGTGTCCCTAACCTGCCACTCAGATTCAGCTCCAGCCTAACAGAAATGTGATACGCTTCACACATTTCAGAAATGCTTTCGATACCGCACAATCTTGTTATCGCACATCGGGTGGTGCAGTGAATCTGTCCACGGCTCCCAAGCCTAGAAAAGACCCAGTTATTTGAAATAATATGCCAGCCCCTGCCCTTTGTCTCATGGGAATGTCATAGATCAGGGATCCCCCACCAAAAAAGAGTTATCCTTCTGTTTGGACACAGAGCAGGAAGACAGATCCTCAGCTCCTGTAGATCTGAGGAGGGTCAGTTTGCACCTGATAAAGAGTTGACCCTGGAACAGCAGCTAAAAAATACTCAGCTACTACAGGGAACAACTGTATACAGTGGGGAAAGGGAGGCTCAGAGAGGTTTCTGGCTCTCCTGGGGATGCGCAGTGAGTGTGAAGACAGTGTGTAGCAGCCCCGTTCTTAGCATGCAGCTCTCCCCAGCAGATTGCATATATAAAGTGAATGTAAAAACATACCTTCTTGCTCAGGTTAGGGTTTATAAATGTGAGGTCATCCAATGTCAGTAAGATTTTATTAGGCCCCTTGACTAACTGGATCTTTATGAGGGTGTTCCTGAAAGAGTCAGAAGGTCAACATTATCATTTGTAGGCATGGGACTGGCTCATGACCAAGAGAAATCTCACTTATGCTGCCTCCCTTTTGTTCTAACGTGGTGTGACACATGAGGATGAGGACAACATGATATGGTGAGAGCAAAAGACATGACCTCTATGCCTTGGGTTATATTAACATCCTTTGCAGCGACAGTGTTTTTTGTCCCAGGATATATTTTGCTCTACAAACAGTGATGGATTGAACTTCAGAGAGAGTCATTGAAATGGAGACACGAATTCATACAGAAGTCAATCCAGTCATAAAGGTGAAGTGTACAGCTTGGATCATGTTTGACTTAATTGTTTTTTTCAATTCCACATTTACTCGGCATCCTACAAATTCCATTGACGTATGAATTGAAGTGGCCTGTAGGGAGGTCACTTTTAACCAACTGTGCAAGTGGGAAAGACTTATTGGCCAAGATCCTGGAAATCTGCATCTTGTAAAAGAGCATCCATTATGGCAGGTCATCACATTGAAATGCTATGATACTCTTATATAGTGTCTTAGTGAGCTGCCAATGGGTGCCTCCTGCAAGACGGCTTTAGACCAGGGGTGGGCAATTATTTTGGGCAGAGGGCCGCTTACTGAGTTTTGGCAAGCCTGTGAAGGCTGCATGACAGGCAGCCAGGGGCAGATAAATATTAATTTTCTAAATTTTTTAGGGGTCCCGCAGGCCAGATGGAATGGCCTGGCAGGCAGCATCCGGCCTGCGGGCCACATTTTGCCCACCCCTGATTTAGACACTTTGATAGCCTGCAAGGTTTATAGAGTCATTGAAAGGTAGGGTTGGAAGGGACCTTGGGAAGTAATCTATAAGCTAACCCCACGCTCAAGGCAGGATCATTCCTGAGTAAACCATCCTAGACAAATGTCTGTATAAACTATTACTAAAAACTCCAGGAACAACCCTCATTCACAACGACTAAAACATCAAAATACCCTTTAACTTGCCACAGGTGAAGCAGGGAGATGAGGGCCCTATCAATGCCCTGTCCCTGCAAGGACAGGAAGGAGTTCATTAATGTACGCTCAAGAGATCCAAGGTAGAGGGCTGTGTCCCCTGCTACAAAGGAAGGTAGTAAACCTCACAGTCTGGACCAGTCTGACCAGAGCGTAAAATTCCTTCCTGACCCCAGTTGTGGCTTGACCCTGAGCAAAAGAGCAAGACCACTGGGCTTTTTAAGTCCCAGAAAGAGCATCATCCCACCCCCCATCAAAATCCCCAGCCCTGGTGTGGCCAGTACCCCACACAGGTTTGCAGGATTGCTTTGTGGGACCTGAAAAATTTAGGGCACAGGTCAGCGCACTGATGGTGGATCAGCTTGGGGCCTGGATTTGACTGCCAAAGCAGCCTCTTTTGCACTAGAGACACAGCACAAGCCATAGCGAGGCAGGTTGAACTCAGCAAGCACCCAAAATGTGCCCAAGGATACATGGCTAACTGGCTACTTAAATGAGGCCCGTCAGTCTTCCAGGCATCCCACAATGCAGTGTTCCCCACCTGCAGGGAGAGGGAAGGAAGAACAGGGCAGTGTGACAGTAAGCACTCTCCAGTGTGCTCCACCATTGCTTTCCCAGAGTGCCTTTCTGTGGGAACTGGGAGATCTCACACCCCATTGCCCGAAATGGGAGACCCAAAGTGCTGGGAGCCTATGGCGGACTAATAGCAGTAAGGGTTTTCGGAGCCTGCGGGGCTCCAGCGGCAGCTTCAGCGTCAAGAGCTCATAGGGTGTCCATAGCAGGCAGGGTGCTGGAAGTGCTCACTGACTGCTCTGTGCCCGCTTCCCTTGCTTGTTGCGGGGACAAGGGGGAGAGGCACAGGCCCAAGCAACCTCCATCACTCTGCTTGGCTAGAAAGTACTACTGCTGCATGCCAGTGCCATGATTTTGAAGTGCTATGGTGTGTGTGGGGGGGCACATGACAGGGGCCGTATGTCTTTCTGCAGCTGAAATACTTTGTTGTAAAACAGTTCAAACTCCATCACACTTCGAAGTGCTTCAGATGTTACATCTGTTCCCACCCCTAGCACATTCATAAAATAATCACAGTAAAGGACATTGGTTGGCGTCCTCGTTTGGGCAACTGAGGTGTAAAAAAAAAGGAGCAGACACTCCTACATCTACATAACTTAATAGAACCCAATACTGGGGTACCCAGGAAAACTCACCAGTAAAAATGCACCAGGATATGTTACACCAGTGTAAGTGCTCTGTGTGTGTAGTTAGTCCAGATCAAGCATTTGTTCACTCACACATTCCCTTTTCACCTAGGCAGCCTATACACATGCTTGTTAGTGTCCTAACTAGAATGTGTTGCAGCAGACTTGATTAATCCAGTTTGCTCTGCATACAAATTCAAATGCTGCAGCATCACCACAGCCATAGGTGACTGGTAGGGGGTGCATAGGGGTGCACCTGCCCCCCCC